TGTGGATTAAGTGTGATCAACCAGTAACCTGTGGTTCAGGGGTGCCACTTTCCAAAGCAACTTTTGTGCTCTTAGTCCTAAATAGAAAGATTCAGTTCTGTTCTGTTACTGCAGCGCTGGTGACCTAACAATGGCTGTGATGCCAGCTGTGCTACATCAGAAATTATTCTTCTTTATACAGTAGAAGTTAATCACTGTGTTTGGAGGTATGGGCCTGTGCACACATGCGCATCCCTGTGTACGTGAACATGTGTAATAACAGTCACTTGGGAAGTAATGCCTCCTATTTATTTCCATGGAAACTGCATCAGATACAGAGAGCACAATAACACTATTTGGTAGAGCAGATTTTCAGCTACAAAACACTGCTTTTTCAACATAATCACCATTATTAGTTGATTCATGCGAGTGAGCTGATTGAGATGCTCTTCATTTTGTGGTGTGACAGCTGTATGCGGCCATCTGGAGCATGACTTGTCTTTCCCATTGCTGTCACCGCTGCTGAAATGCACCACCCACTGCCTCACTGTGCTCACAGCCACTGTTTGGTTTCCATAAATGTTCACCAGGCATCAATGAGTGTAAGTGGGTGCCTTTTTTTCTTCATGGAGGAATTGAGTGACACCCTTTTGCTTCATTTTCACTTCCATGTCAGATGCCATTTTGTCAGACTCCCCCTTTGCTGCCATCTGTTACACAGCAACAAAATGTAATGGAATGTTGGTGGGCCAACATCATAAAATAGGAGGTGTTACTTTTGGAGCAGCTCTTGTACATCTCGCATTGTCTACAGAATAGATACCTATCTGCAACTTTAGAATGAATTTCCTTTCCTTCAGTGTTTCCTCCTCATCTTCTTTTCTTGTAAGTTTGGAAATATCCTCAGGAAAATATTTTGAGGATGGCTTTATTGAGCAAGCACTTCAGAGCCTCTGGGTCACAACATTGGCATTCTGTAGAAATCTAATGAGATGATCTTTCATATAAGCACTGCAGCTGCTGTCTGTAGCTACTTTTTCTTCTCGCTCTGGCTTTAGGTACAGCTATTAAAAAACCATGGTGATTCTCTGGTAGTTTTATTTTATCAGATTGCCAATTTTGACTCTTCTCAGTTGATGCTGGAAGCAGTCTGATTCAGCTTAGGTTTGTTGTGTAAGCAGTCAGTCTTTCAGCTCTGTTTTTCTTCTGCAAGGCAGCACATGTAGAGTTGCTTCATGTTGGATGCATGTGCTGTTTGAGATGAGACACTGTCACCTGGAACGTATGTAAATTCCAAGTAAGTTGTAGAGTTGGAAAAGTGGGACGCCAAACGACCCCATGGTTGTGCAGCATGTCCCTTAAGAAAGTAGTAGACTTGTTCTTGTAAGCGTGATGAGTAACTTGAATAAAGTTAAGCTTAAACTGAATGTTATGCATAACCAATTTTGTGTGTGTGTGTTTTTATATTCTCTTGTATACCAAAGGTGGTCAGGATATAATAAAAAAAAAAAAGGAAAAGAGTCTTCATAAGTACAACAGTATAGCCCATCGTAGGGAGCTGAAGCTATGCTGTGTGAGCTGCAGTTACACAGCTAAGATTGAACACTTACCTAGAGGCTGTAACCTTGAACTATTTATAGGTATGAAAATTGAAGATAACTTATGCTTCTTGATCATCATAGAATGGCCTGGGTTAGAAAGAACCACTAAGATCATCTAGTTTCAACCCTCCTGCTGTGTGCAGGGTCACCAACCACCAGACCAGGCTGCCCAGAGCCACATCCAGCCTGGCCTTGAATGCCTCCAGGGATGGGGCATCCACAGCCTCCTTGGGCAACCTGTTCCAGTGTGTCACCACCCTGTGTGTGTGAGAAACTTCCTCCTAATATCTAACCAGAGCCTCCCCTGTCTCAGTTTAAGACCATTTCCCTCCATCCTATCGCTATCCACCCTCATAAACAGCCATTCACCTTCCCCTTTATGCTCCTCTTAAGTACTGGAGGGCTACGATGAGCTTTCCTCAGAGCCTTCTCTTCTCCAAGCTAAACAAACCCAGTTCCCTTGACCTTTCTTCATAGAAGAGGTGCTCCAGCTCTCTGATCATCTTAATGGCCCTCCTCTGGACCCGCTCCAAGAGCTCCACGTTGATGTTTTAACCAATTTTAAATGCATAGCCAAGTAGGTAATATGAATTCAGGATCATTTGAAAAGTAAATTTGAAGGTGAGCTTGCTTGTTCTGGAAATTTGTCTTCAAATGTTTTGTTTTAGCGTATGTGCTGTAGGCATCCTCCTGCCTTGAATAGGGGGGTGAACCAGATGACCTCCAGCGGTCCCTTCCTACCTCAGCTGTTCAGTGATTGTGATATTTTTTTTTTTTTCAAGTGAAAGGGCAAGAAGGTGAAATTGAAATCCTTTTTGAACTGAAACACTTTCGAAGTATAAAGGAGCAAAAAGTCTTCCCTTTTTGAGTTCTAAAATATTCAGCTGTAGTAACTTTAAAGGAATGTAAGTTTGTAACACTGATATAGAGTTTTATGTAATTAAATTCCTTATTGCTTTATTAAATAATGCTATGAAAAAAAGTGAGCGCTGAATAATTTTTGTTAATTCCTAGTATGAGGTTTAAGCAGATATGTTAACAATTTATTATTAAATCAAGTTTTGAAGAGCTAGCTTTCTAGTTTGAATTCTGTCTCAATATTTTTCAAAATTGAATCAAGTGTTTTTGAAACAATTTTGTAGAAATGTTAGGGAAAATGTAGGTGCACACAAAATCTCATCAGATCTTTTATTTCCTAGACTGGAAAAATTGTTTCCCCGCCTTATTGTGGTCTCCACAATTGTTTTTTTTCCCCTCACACAAAAAATAATTGAGTAGAATTCATTGGATCCTTCTGTTACCTTTGTTCTGTGATACTGCCCCATCTGTTTTCTTAGCTATTCCCAGTAATGTTCTGTTCCACATAATGAGTTTTGTTTAGTGTTGTTGTTGTTTTTCTTAAACAAGTGCACAGATTGGCTACTGGAGAGTATCTTTCTGAGAAAGCAGAGTGAGCAGTGTTGCAAAACACCTTGTTCCTTTCTTTGTTTAATTGTGCTCTGTGCTGTGAAAGATGAAAGTTTGTTCAGCAGATATCATGAAAGTCTTGCCTGTTTGTTGTTATTTATTTCCTAAACACACATTTGAGAAGGCAAAGGACAGTTAGTGTAGTTTTAAAGGATCTGTGTGTGAATCTGAAAATCGTTTAGAATTTGGCTAATAAATCCTTTGGATAAAGTAGCATATGAGCAGCTGCTTCTGCTTAAGCTTGTGATATTCCAGTATTGGAGAACAATGTGTATCTAGTCTGTATCTAATTACTGTATTTTTAGCAGTTGGTTTAGATCAGGCTGTTGCGTAGTTTCTAGTTGTATTTAAGTCATATGAGTTATATGAGTATCACGAGTAATATCTGTGGAGTGCAGTTTCAATGGTTGTTGAGTCAGGAACAGCTCTGGTACAGTAACTGATACACGTGGATTGTAAAACAGATCTTTCATTATGGATTGATTTTTACTTTTTTTTCAGAGTAAGGTGACCCATAGCTTCTTTGTTATTAAGTTTGATCAGCCTATTAAAACAGAGAGCAGTCTCACTTTCTGTGAAAGTAGAGTTTAGTGGCTTACTTTTAACTAGCCCTGTAGAAAAATGAAAATTGCAGCTGGGAGGACTTTGATCCTTTTCTGCCTTCTTTCTTGTAAATGAAGCTGTATGGGAGATAATATGCTTCTACGTGTTAACAGGTATTGTAGAAACACTGTGTAATCACAAACTGTGCTAAATTTAGCATGCTATCTCTACCAATTTATTTTTCAAAACAGTTACTGTTGTTTTTTTTATCAAGATTACTAGTAATTATGTCATTTCCGAGTGATCTTACTGCATAGCAGAGAAGGGTGGAAGAAGTCAAGCAGGCTTTTATGCTTTCAAGTATGCCTAAAGGTATTTTCATTGCATGTACTTTTTTTCCCCTTTTCAGCATCTCACAGAATTGTAGGGACTGGAAGGGGCCTTCAGAGATCATCGAGTCCAGCCCCCCTGCTAAGCAGGCCCCATACAGCAGGCTGCACAGGTAGGCATCAAGGTGGGTCTTGAACATCTCCAGAGACAGAGACTCCACAACCTCCCTGGGCAGCCTGTTCCAGTGCTCCGTCATCCTTACCATAAAGTTCCTTTGTACATTGGTGCAGAACTTCCTATGCTCCAGTTCATGTCCATTTCCCCTTGTCTTGTCCCCTGAAAAGAGGTTGGCCGTGTCTGTTTGACTCCCATGCCTAAGATATTTATAAACATTAATAAGATCCCCCCTCAGTCTTTCTTTCTCAAGGCTGAACCGACCCAGGTCGCTCAGCCTTTCCTCTTAAGAGAGGTGCTCCAGGCCCTTTATCATCTTTGTGGCCTTCCACTGGACTTTTTCCAGGAGGTTTATTTAACATTTTGTACGTATGGTTAATGTGCTACGTTTTTAAATGAATAATGCTGTACCAGCATTGTATCCTTCAAGTTAAATTTGAGATTGTGTGAGTTGTGAGTGATGCTACTAGTTCAGCTGGGAAGTTTATGAAGTTTCTATGAAATTAACTTTCAAGGTGTGTGAAATATCTACTTTGGCTGGAATACTCACTGGAAATCAGTGTATTCATTAGGAAAAATACCAAGAAGTGCTTATGTACAGGTTAGCTCTTTAAAGGTGAAGATCTTACAAATATGCTTTTCTAAAAATGTATTTTGAATTTATCCGGAAAATAATGGATCAGGTGGATCTTTGAACTTTTATTGCAGTAAGCAGTTGGAGAATAAAGTTACGTCATACTGTTATAAAAATCTTCTGAAACAGTGCTTAAAATGTGATGGGAAACAGGTTTGGACAATACTTAGACCTGCAAACTGGGAGAAATAAGCAATGTAAAACTTTCAGCCAATGCTGAATTGCTTTGTTGTGGTGGCTCTCACAGGTTTGTGTGTTTGCTCTTTCTTAAAATGATTTATGTATGAGGCAATGTATGTGGGCTTCATGTGGTCCTTTTAAGAACATCAGCAAAAACAAGAATGGAGGGTGGACTTTTTCTTTTCTTCAAGTACAAGTGACATTAAAGCTGCATCCGTCACAGAATCTGAAGAGGGAGTGCTGTCTCATGGGTGTTGAGGGTGAGCTGCTGCCTGTCCTGTTCTTTTGTGTATTAGAGAGGAGATTGTGTCTCTAATCTTGTTTTAAAATAATTGATCTTCCACAAATCTGTGTTGTTGTTTAGAACCTAGATTCACTGTCCAGAATGAATTAAATTTTACGTGCTTTCTTGAGTTACGCAGCAGTGCTGGCTCAAGAGAATTACAGGAATGTGCGAAGAGTAGCATATTGCACCTAAGCACTTACATCAGAGTCAGCATATGTGTTTAAATTGGGAGTACTGTGAAAAATCTCAATCTGGCTATAGTCCCTGTCCTAGAAGAGGAGGGAATGAAAGTTGCAACTTCTGTGCGTTTCAACATCACCCAGTTCCACATACTAAGCAGCTTTATGTAGCTCTGTATACTAAAAGGGTTGCTGAAAATTTAACTGCATAAACTTAAAAAGACATTTTTGAATTTTGCTTCCTAGATGGCCAACTTTCTTTGAGTGTTTTCTGTTTCTAGGAGATAAAAAGTCATCAAATTGGGTAAAAAATGAATGCAAGTAGTGATTTGGCATGCATGTATCAGTGTACAGTTTAACATTTTATCTAAAGGTAGCCTCCTGAAACTTGAGTGTTGAAGCAAGTGAAAACTTATGTACTTGAAAATCCACTTAAGTGTGGGATGTTGGATTTCTCCAATTCTACCTAGAATCTACAACCTCATATGTAAATTACTGTTTGTCTGTGTTAAGCTGAATGAACAGATTTTGAAATTGAATAATTTCTTGCAGTGTTGTGTCACTGAAAAATACCCTGATAAGAGGACTATAAATGAGGGAAATAAATTCTATAGACTATAAATTTTTCATGTAGCTGAAAGATCCTTTCTGTAGCATTGCGTGCTGGTTATTTTGTGTCAGGGTTGTTAGTATGACTTGTTCTTTCAATCTATCCTACTTGCATTACTTGGTGCTAGTATCTATTGAGTTGTGCCTTTTCCCAGGACTAGGAGAAGGACAGTGATGGTGTGATGAATCCATGTGGAGTTACTTTTGCTTATTTGGGATGGTTTCACAATAGCAATTGTGTAGTCAGAGCTGCGAGTTGGCAATAAATGCTTTCAGAAGGTCATCTTCACTGGGCTATTAGGTTGAAAAGGCTATCTGTAGAAACTTTTTTTTTAGTGAATGTTGTAGGAATATGGTTCGTGTATTCTAATACAAGCAATCAAAGAGGTCTAAGGAAAAAGCCCTGGGAACTCTTTGGGTGTCACACAGCCCTTCTTGTGTTGCTCCAGTCAGTACTAGGCATTGTTATTCAGCACCTCAGAAGAGAGAACTTGATGCAGAAATTCAAAGATCCTTTAGGAAAAACTTTTTTGGCAATATTTTTGAAATCTGTGTTACTGGACTGAGAGTTGCCACTTGGTTTGATTCTGTTTTGCAGTGATGTTGTTTTGTGATAACAGCTGGCTACAGAAAAGAATAAAATCCAATCTTAGGGGCTTAAAGTCCTTTCAGAGAACTTTTTGTGTCAGTAGTTGGAGCTTCTTTTACAAACAGTTCTGAAAGCTGGACTGTAACGAATGGCTCTGTGTCCAGATGGAGGCTGGTAATGAGAGCTGTCTCCCAGGGTCTGTCTTAGGACTCGTACTTTTTAATGCCTTTATTGGAGATATGGATGATGTGATTGAATGCACCCTTAGCAAGTTTGATGACACCAAGCTAAGAGGTGTGGTTGATACAACTGAAGGGAGGGGTATTGTCCAGAGGGACCTTGATTAAAGTCAGAAGGCAGGCCCATGTGTACCTAATGAGGTTAAACCAAGCAAAGTGCAAGCTTTTGCCCTTGGGTCGAGGTAATCCCTGATACGTTTGCAAGCTGGGAGGACTCCTTGAGACAAACCCTGCTGGGAAGAACCTCGGGATTTGCTTGATGAAAATCTCAACACGAGCCAGCAGTGTGCTTTTGCAGCCCAAAAGGCCAATGGTATCCTGGGTTCTATCAGAAGTGGGGTGGCCAGCAAGGTGAGGGAGGGGATTGCCTGCACTATCCTGCTCTCATGAGGCCCTGACTGGAGTACTGAACCCAAGTCTGGGGCCCTCAGCACAGGAAAGATGTAGAGCTTCTGGAGAAGGTCCAGAAGAGGGCTATGAAGATGATCCAAGGGCTGGAGTGTATCTCCTGTGAAGATAGGCTAAAAGAACTGGGGTTGCTGAGTCTGGAAAAGAAGGCTGCAGGGATACCTTGTTGCGGCCTTGCAACATTTTGAACAGAGATTAAAGGAAATCTCTTTTTACAAGGGTAGACAGTGGTAGGACAAGGGAGGATGATTTTAAACTAAAAGATTGGGCTTTTAGGTAAGATGTCAGGGGAATTTTTTTTACTATGGGAGTGGTTGCCCAGAAAAACTGTGGATGCCCTGTCCTAGAGGTGTTTAAAGTTGGTTGGGTGGGGCTTTGGGAATGTGATCTAGTACATGCTCTAGTGCTTGGCAGCCCTGTCTGTGGCAAGGGGGTTGAAAGTTAATGATCCTTGAGGTTCCTTCCAACCTAAGCTGTTCTATGGGAAGGAATTTCTTATTCACCTCTTGCTACATACATTATTTGTATCTATCTGTGTATATATATATATACACACAGACACAACTTTTAATGTTTTCCTTTTCTTTATCTTAATAGTTTTATCTCAACCCACAAGTTATCCTTTTTCCCCTGATTCTCTCCCCCATTCCACCAAGAAGAGGGAAATTGAATCAAGGTCTGTGTGGTGCTGAGCCATCTGTGGGGTATGGCCACATCAATAAGTCAATTTAATCCTACAGCTTAGGCTGACTAAGACAAGATATTTTGCAAATACATTGAAATGAGTTTGTCATAGCCTGATTTATTTATTTTTCCACTCCATGGGTTCAAACTTGGGTACAGCCCAAATATATTGTCTGTATTTCTACTACTGCTACTCAGCAGTGCTACCGCTAAAATACCTGAAAAATGCTAAGAAAGAAATTAAGATCAGACTGTTGTCATCCTCACCTCTTGTCTTTGTAATGGTTTGATGTAGAGGCAATGTCTGGATGCAGGGCTGGAGTGCATGCTAATTTTGAGGACAGCGCTAAGCTGGAGAACCTGTTGAGCCCCTCAAAGGGAGAGAGACTTTGCAGAGGTCTTTGAGTAACCTGGTTTCCCAGGTTTCTCTACCTGGTGTTCCAGCCTCCAGCAGGGGGGTTGGAAGCCTATAGTCTTATTCCAATTCAAACCATTCTGGAATTCTGTGATTTAATCTTGGCCAACAGGAGAGCTGGGCAATCAGCAGCCATATGAGGTTCACTAAAAGCTGGTTTGTGCCCATGGGGCAGCCCTGGCTCTGTGCCCGGGGGGAGGGGAATCAGGAGGTGAGAGAGCAGCCCCAGGAAAAGGATCAGTGGGTTCTGACTGATGGCGCGTGGGTTGGACTTGAGCCCAGTTCTAAAACAAATGTAGTTCAGTGATCCTACTGTAACTCGGAGTTGTCAGAGCTGAAGGCTCATTTCCAGTGGGGAGAAGGAACAGTCACAACAGAAGGGTCGACAAAGAGAAATCTCAGATCAACTTAATCATAAGTGTTATTACAAGTTGATAGTAATTGTGGGGAGGTTGGAACTTGATGGTCCTTGTCTTTAATCTCTTGAATTTTCAGTATAGCCTGTTTTTTAATAATGATTTTTACATGTAAAACTATAAGTGCAATACTGTGGTTTTTTCTTTTTTGGGTGTCTTTCCTTTGAGTGTACAGATATTTTGCCTCAGTGAGGTACCTGTTATTTTCTCTTTCAGTTAAAGAAACCTGAACTTCAAGTTAAACACAAATCATGAAGCTTTGTTAGAGGAGTGTGTGGTGGACCCTTGGCATAGTTGTACCAGGGGTTCATCCTACTTGAATGCACAAGAGGTCTTACATTTAGGATCACAATGTCTTTAATGTTTTCAGTGGTTTGGTTTTTTTTATGAGACATATGTCTAAAAGACATCTTTCTGTGCTCTGAAATAAGTAAATCAGAATGTAAAGTATATATTCCCCACTATGTTTTAAAATGTACTGTGAAATTGCATAGGGTTTGGTGATGTTTTTTGGCTTTTTTTTTTTTTTTAGGGCTTTACACCATTAAAATTGAGGAGTAAGCACAGGTGATGGCTCTTAAATAGTGGGCTGGGAGCTTGCTTGAATGTGTGAAGGTTATTTGTGATGGTAAGCTTCCAGCAAGTGTTAGCAAAATCATAGCTGGAGGGATTCTCTTAAAGGGTTCAAGCAACTTGTAACCTTCCCATGAAAGCTGATGAGGAATGATCAACAGATATAATCTCTGCTATTTATTTTCAGTACTGACATTGAGCTTTGTGGGTCTAACTGGACTTTTGTCAGTTTAAAACCTCTAGGATGCTTTGCTATTTGGGCAGACCACAGTTTGCCACTGGTTTAAAGTGGGAACCATAGTGAAGTACTACGAATGCTTGCCCTCCTCAAAAACCATTTAAAAGTCATGAAAAATTGAAAAGCAGTGTGCAGAAATATTAAATGAAGAGATTTTATGTGGTTTTCTAGATGCAGGCTTTCTTATTTTAATGCTGTGTGTATCAGACAGTAGCATTAACGTTCTAAGTCTTCAGAACCAGAACTGGAAAAGTTTCACAAATCTTCTGCTGACATGCATGTTCATTTGACCCGTGACAGTGAAAAGTGTGATTATGAAAAAGATCATTATGTTATCGTTATGTGTGTTACTCATGTATTTCGTCACAATTTCTTCTCTTGTCTTTGATTGTTGAAGCTTTATCCTGCAATGCTTTTAATTCATAAATAGCTCTCTTACTCTTCCGTCTACCATATGGTAAAGAGAGCTAAATACAAAGTAATATGCATTGACAAAGCACGTTGTTTTTGAGGAACATTTGATCTAATCGAAGTCTTATTTTCATTGTTAACTTTAAAAACACTGCAGCATAACTTAAACTTTCAGCTTGCAGCTATTTCAGCTGTTGAGCTGTTCTGTCTTTT